TCTTAATTGATATGAAACCTCTCTGTGATTCCTCCTCTGTCCGGTTGTCACTCTGAGATGACAGAACCCGAACATTCTCAAATTTATTAGCACAAACCCACAGCACGCTGTAGAATGAGAGAGAGAGAGAGAGGTGAAGAAAAAGAGGAAAAGGAGGAGGAAGGCAGAGGGGGCGTGGGAGGAGGAGGAGGAGGAGAAAGGGGAAGAGGAAGAAGAAAAGGGGGGGAGGGGAGAGAGAGGCGTTAAATCAGGAGCACACCCATCACATGCAGACAGGATGCAGTGGAGGCAGCAGGCTTGTGGCTGTCAGTGATTGGTCAGGTTCTTGCAGTCCAGGAATATTCTGGTTTTCTTTCTTCCTCTCTTCACCTGCGTCTGATAAGTTTAGAAGCTGAGGAGGGAGGCAAAGGCTATTGTACTAGCTTTTGGTCCCTCCAGCTTCCATTGTATATTCTTGCCTCCTCTGTAGTAGATTAACTGACCATAGGTGGGTGGGCTCATTTCTGGACTCTCTATTCTATTCCATTAATCTGTGTGTCTGTTTTTGTGCCAATACCAGGTTGTTTTGATTATTTTAGCTTTGTAGTATGGTCTGAAGTCTGGGGGGGTTATACCTCCAGATTTATTGTCCTTTCTCAGGATTGCTTTGGCAGTTCTGGGTCTTTTGAGCTTCCATATAAATTTTAGGATTATTTGTCCTAGTTCTGTGAAAAATGTCATGGGTGTTTTGATAGGGATCACATTAAATCTGCAGATTGCTTTGGACAGTATGGCTGTCTTAACATTATTAATTCTTCCAATCCAAGAGCATGGGATATCTATCCATTTGTTTGAATCATCTTCAGTTTCTTTATCAGTGTTCTATAGTTTTCAGCATATAGGTTTTTCACCACCTTGGTTAAGTTTATTCCTAAATATTTTATTTTTTTGAGGTAATTTTATTTTACTTTATTTATTTTTTTGCCGTACGCGGGCCTCTCCCTGCTGTGGCCTCTCCCGCTGCGGAGCACAGTCTCTGGACGCGCAGGCTCAACGGCCATGGCTCACGGGCCCAGCCGCTCCGCGGCATGTGGGATCCTCCTGGACTGGGGCACAAACCCGCATCCCCTGCACCGGCAGGCGGACTCCCAACCACTGCGCCACCAGGGAAGCCCTTGACGTAATTTTAAATGGGATTTTTTTTTAACTTTCTCTTTCTGATATTTCATTATTAGTATAAAGAAATGCAACAGATTTCTATATATTAATCCTGTATCCTGCTAACTTGCTGAATTCATTCATTTGTTCTAATAGTTTTTCTGTGGAGACACTAGGGTTCTCTACATAGAGTATAATGTCCTCTCAAATAGTGACAGTTTTACCTCTTCCCTTCCAATGTGGATAGCTTTTATTTCTTTTTCCTGTCTGATTGCTATGGCTTGGACTTCTATTACTATGTTGAATAGAAGTGGTGAGAGTGGGCATCCATGTTTTGTTCCTGAATTTAGTGGGAAGGCTTTTAACTTTTCACCACTGAGTATTATGTTGGCTCTGGGTTTGTGATAAATGGCTTTTATTATGTTGAAATACATTCCCTCCCACTTTGGTGAGAGTTTTTATCATGAATGGATTTTCAATTTTGTCAGATGCTTTTTCTGCCTCTATTGAGATGATCATATATGTGGTTTCTGTCTTTCCTTTTATTAATGTGGTGGACCACATTGATTGATTTGTGTATGTTGAATCATCCTTGTGACCCTGGAATGAATCAAACTTGATAATGGTGTATGATCCTTTTTCTGTATTGTTGGATTTGGTTTGCTAATATTTTGTTGACGATTTTTGCATATATATTCATTAAAGATATTGGTCTGTAATTTTCTTTTTTGTAATGTCTTTGGTTTAGGTATCAGGGTGATGGTGACCTCATAGAATGAATTTCAGAGTGTTCCTTTCTCTTCAATTTTTGGAATAGTTTGGGGAGGATAGGTGTAAGTTCTTTGTATACTTGATAGAATTCCCCAGTGAAGCCGTCTGGTCCTGGACTTGTTTGCTGGGAGTTTTTTCTTTTTCTTTTAATTACAGAATCTATTCCACTTCCAGTGATTGGTCTGTTCAAATTATCTGTTTCTTCTTGACTCATTTTGGCAGGCTGTATGTTTCTGGAAACGTGTCCATTTTTTGGAAGGTTGTTCAACTTGTTGGCATATAACTGTTCATAGTATTCTTCTATGATTTTTAATATTTCTGTGCCCCAGTCTGTCTCTGCATAGCTAGACTGAATCTTTTCCCAGATTTCATGCCAAGCTGTGGTGTGGAGTGAGTGGGGCTGAGGTGTTTGCCCCTTTCAGTTGGAAAGGGCAGCAAGGTGGCAGCCACCAGTGCAAGGCTCTCTCTGCCCTGATAGTTGGCAAGCCAGCACATGTGCACTCCTTATGAGTAGAGTCTAGGCTTCTCCAGCCCTTTTGTCCATCTCAGCAGACTTCCCAGCAGGCAAGGGGGTTTGTCTCCTCCATGCAGGACCCCAGGACTGGAATGCCGAGATTGTGGCTCAACTAGCTTGCTCCTCAGGGCAAGGGTCGGCCTGTGTGGACCTTCTCTTCCTTACAGATCCCTCCCAGGGGTGCAGGTCCCAACCCAATGCCTTTTTTTCCCCATACTACCCGGTTCCACGGAGATCTTTCTTGCAGCTTTGGTTTTCTAGGAGTTCTTCTGCTAGTTTCCAGTTAGTTTCCTGTGGGAATTGTTCCACAGGTAGATGTAATTTTGATGTGTTTGTGGGGACAGGTGAGCTCCAAGTTCTACTCTGCTATCTTGATTCCTGCATATATATGCAGTTTTAAAGCAAATCACAGTTAACTTCATAGTTTAACTTCTATTCAACTATCTTCTTCATGCAATTATTACTTTTTTCTTTATAAGTTTTATCATATACATAAATGTTAAAATATATTTGGTTATGCCTATTTTAAGTTTTTATGTAAATGGAATAATACTATATGTATCCTTCTGTGACTTTTTAAAAAATACATTAATTTGAGACTCATCCATGATTAAGGATGAGTAGCTGTAGTTCACTTTCACGGCTGTAAAGTATTCCACTGTATAATTATAGCATAAATATTTTTCATTCTTTTGTTGATCAACGCTTGTTCCCATTTATTTTTTTGCCATGATAAACACTGCATTCTTATGTATGTCACCTGATGTACAAGTGCAAACATTTATCAGGGGTTATGTACCCAGAGGCAGAACTGTGAAGTCATATGATATATGTATCTTCAACTCTACCAGGTAGTGCCTATTCTTTTTCTTACTGAGGTGGTATTACCAGTTTATACTCCCACCAGCTGTAAGTTGCTTCACATGCTTAGCAACAAACATTGCTAATGTGGTATACACTTCTTAACATAAATTATTTCATCTCTCCTAGGTTTGCTTCTTTGTAATAGGGTATGCCTTTTAACACTTTAAACCTGTCTCATTGCAATGAGGCTTGGAGATAATACTTATGAGGCTATATTTATCAGAGTGTTATAACCTCAAATTTATTTTATTACCCATAGTCTAGTCTATGTACTGGAAGATTCGTATCTTGGGCTATAAGTATTGTTTTTTGTGAACCTTCCCAATTATATTCTTGAATATTTTTTTCTAATTCACATTTGGAAAATTTCATACTCCTATTCATAGTATCTTATTTTACAGATGTATATAGGCTTTTCTCTTTTGTCCTATAGTCAATTAAAAACATCAGGTAAGCAAGTGTCTGTTATGAGTCCTAAAGCTGAAGTTAATTTCTCACCATGCACCAGTCATTCTGATATTAAAAGACAAGGTCCAGAAATCCAGACTTGATTCCTCTACAAAGTGGTTCTCTCAAAATGTGGTGCAAAGACCCCTGGAGTCCAAAAATCCCATTGGTAAAAGGGTTGGTAATTAGCAGTGGCACTAAACTATGGTTATTCAGACTTGGGTATTAGCCAACATTCTCTTGAAAATGACAAACTGAATGTCACTTTTGGGACGATAATTGATAGTATTTGTTGCTACTGATAAAATTTGAGCTTATAAATGAAATTTGAGTTTTGGAAGCCTTGTATCCACCACCATGAGCCTGACACATTAAAACCTAAAAACTTTACTTATGGGATCAGCAGTGATATTAACAAATGTGATTTTAAAATAGTATGTGATAAAACGTGTTAAAATTGGGAAGATATGCATACCTCAGTAAACCAATATTTTCCAAATGGCCAATGCATGATGTTACAAAACCATGCATACATGAAAGATCATTTAAAGTACAAGACAGACCAATGGATTTTGAAGTAATAGAGTAGGGGAGAATCACTTCTAGATCTAGTAAGGACCAAAAAAAGTCTACATAAAAGAAATAAGAACACTGTCAAAAATTGTTAAATTTTTTTTTGCAAGAATCAAGGAGTATCTAAGAAAAACGACTGAATCTCAGTAAAACAGTGTTTATTGTTTTTTAATCTGCCTTATTCCCATAACCCCTCCCCAGCTCTGAAGTAGTCCTGAAGACCAATAGCTTTGCTACTAAGGGAGCTTTGAAAATGAACAGCTTAGCAGCAAAGGGAGGGGCGGATCTCCCTAATGTTCCATCCTCAGAGAATTATCACTATTTGACTTGTCTGGCAGTTCCCTGAAAAGCTACAGTCTCAATATTTGTCTTTATTTGGCCAGACTGAGAGCTTGCTCAGTGTGAACAGCTCTATCAAACTGGAAGTTTATTAAAAACAATCATTAGCAATTGTTTTTATTGATGCTGCCTGAGACAGTGATATCAATTTGGGCTAATAAGCGGTTGATCAAATCTTAAAAGGAAAAATGTGAATGAGATGTTCAAAGGGGACTTTGAAAAGCTCCGACATATTCCTGGAATGTGAATGAGATGTTCAAAGGGGACTTTGAAAACCTCTGATATATTTCTGGGAATCTAGAAGTCCACACATGTGTGTAACCTGTTTTCAGACAAAAGAACTGAGAAGGCCTTAATCTCTCAATCCTTTATTTAAGAAAAACTGTGTCCACTCACAGCTGACAATTAAAACTTACTGAATAAGGATTTCATGGTTATATACAATAAAGAATAAAGATTTCATAGTAATAATCCAGGAAACTCACTGGACAAACAGCAGCAATAACAACAAACTTAAGGGGGGGATTTTCAGGGTGAACACATTATTTATAATGTCCAGTTTTCAACAACAAAAAATTATGAGACACACAAACAGGAAAGTATGTTTCATACAAAGGGAAAAAAAAGCTGTCAATAGAAATTTCCCCCAAGGAAGCACAGATGTTTGACTTACTAGGTAGAGACTTTAAATCAGCTATTATAAATATGTTCAAAGAAAGTAAAGGAAATCATGTAAAGAATTTAAGGAAATTATGAGAACAATATCTCACCAAAATAGAGTATCAATAAAGAGATATAAGTCATACACGCAAAAAATCCCACACTAATTCTAGTGTACAATAACTGAAATAAAAAAATTCACTAGAGAGGCTCAATAGATTTAAATTAGCAAAAGAAGGAATCAATAAAATTGAAGATATGTCAATTCAGATTATCCAGTGTGAGAAACAGAAAGTAAAATGAGAAACATAAAGAAAATGAACAGTGCCTCAGAGACCTGTGGGGCACCATCAAGAATATCAACAATAATAGGAGTCCCAGAGGAAAGGAGGGGAGGAGAGGCAGAAAGAATATGTGATGTGAAAATGTCTGAAACTGCCCAAATTTAATTAAATACATGAAACTGCACATCTAAAAGCTCAATGAACACCAAGTAGGATAAACTTGAAGAGATCCACACCAAGGTACATCATAGTCAAACTGCTGAAAGCCAAAGAGAGAATTTTAAATGCAACAAGAGATAAGCAACTTGTTATGTACAAGGGAACCTGAATAAGATTAAAGCTGATTTCTCATCAGAAACCCAGGAGTCCAGAAGACAGTAAGATGAATATTTAAAGTGTTGAAAGGAAAAGACAGTCAACCAAGAAATCTAAAAGGTAGCAAAATTATCCTTGAAGAATGAAGGGAAAATTAACACATTGTGAGAAAAAAACTGAGAAAATTTATTATTAACACACCTAACTAACAGGAAATACTAAGGGAGTTCTTCTGGCTGAACTGAAAGTAGACAGGAACTCAAATCCACAGAAATAAATAAAAAGTATCAGTAAAGGTAACTATAGGTAAATTTACTAGATGCTATAAATGTATGTTTGTTTGTAGCTCTTTTCTCCTATCTAATTTAAAACATTACTGCATAAAGTAATAATGAAAAAACCATGTTGTTGGGCTCACAATGCATGAAGATGTAACATGTATGAAAATACAAGCACAAAGGAGGGGGGAGTAAACTGAGGCATATTGGAGCAAAGTCTGTTTATGCTACTGAAACTAAGTTGGTATTAATATGGAGTATATTGTTTTCTAAGTTACAATGGAAACTGTAATTCTGAGAGGAAACACTAAAAAAATAATTTCAAATATAGAGTACAAAAAACAAGGGAATTAAAATCAAATTCTAGAAAATATATAATACAAAAGAGAGCAGTAATGGTGGAACAGAGGAAGAAAAAAGACATAAGACATATAAGGAACAAAATAGCAAAATGGCAGAGATAAATCTACCTAATTAGTAATTATATTAAATGTAAATGGATTAAACAGTGCTACCAAAAGGCAGAGATTAGCAGAATAGATAGAAGAACATGATCCAAGTGTATGCTGTCTATAAAAGACACTTTAAACTCAAAAACAACAAATAGGTTGAAAGTAAGAGCATGGAAAAGATATACCATGGAAATAGTAACCAAATGAGAGCTGGAGTAGCCATACTAATAATAGACACAAACAGACTTTAAGATAAAAATGTTAGTAGAGATAAAAAAGGACAGTTTCATCAATCTATCAAGAACACATAACAATTATAAACATAAATACACCTAATAACACAGGCCTGAAATACATAAGGAATTGATGGGTGAAACAGGTAATTCAACAATAATGGTTGCTGGATACTATTATAATTATTAAAAATACAGCAGTGTCATTAATGGATAGACCAATGAAGCACAAGATCAACAAGGAAAAAGAAGACTTGAACAGCACTAGAAATCAACTAGATCTAGTAGACATGTATAGAACACTGTACCCAACTTTAGTAGAATACATCTTCTCAAGCACACATGAAACATTCTCTAAGGGGAACCATATACGAGACCATAAAACAAGTCCTAATAAATGTAAAAGTACTGAAATTGTACAAAGTATGTTTTCTGATGACAATGGAATTAAATTAGAAACCAACAACAGAAAGAAATTTGAGAAATTCACAAATGTGTGGAAATTAAACAACAGGCTTCTAAATAACCAATGGGTAATGTGACAGAGTTGGAAATGTTCACTGATATAGTTTCAAATTCCACATTACAACTAACCTTTAAGTAAATGCCACTGTTGAGTTTTGGTATACTATCAGTTATCTGAACAGGATATGAAATATTCTCTTTTTCTACTATACAGCTGTGTAAGGCTAAATTTTTTTTTTAATATTTCAACCAAAAGAATAATAAACAATGCAAAAGGAGATATGAGAATCTTTTTTTTTTTTTTTAATGACAGGTACTAAGGAGATTTGAAAAAAATACAAAGGAATGTTACTCTTCACTCATTTTGTATTTTGGAAAATAGTTATTTTTCCATAAAAATAACTTTATTTTAGGTCAACATGTAATGGGTCTATTGTTTTAAAATGATTTAATAAAAACATTTAAAGTTGTTTCAGTTTTTATTTCAAATAGAGTAATACTGATAAACAAAACTCGCTTAAGAAAAACTATTTGGAGTCTTCAGAACAAGAAGTTTGAGAATTGGTACTCTGTATCATGTACATAATGAGTAATTCAATCCCTACTCTGCCTTTCCCAATGGAAATGATATGACTGGTACATGTGCCTGTGTGTTTTGGTTTCTTAACCCTTATGTCATAGCATTAAACATGTTTCAGGATTTTTCTTCCCCCTTAAATAGTGCCATTTACCTCCATATGAATGTTTAGTACAAAATGTAGTAAATAGGGTTATACCTTCAGCAAGTGCAAAAACTTGGATAACTTTTACTTTGTATCTCTTCTAATACAGTAGAGATGCTAGGAGTATTGCTGTATCTTTTAATACCTTTCACATACCTAGGTTATATTAGTGGTGGTCCAAAGAATTTCAATTTTTATAAATTTATTATTTGGGAAGTGATTGTATCATTAAGGAATTTTCAATTTAAAAGGATTAGGGATTTCTGAAACAATTAATTCCTCTAGTTTAAGTATTTATACCCATACCTTGAATTCCTTTATGAAAACCTGAAAAGCTAATATGCCGGGAATGCAAACTATGGGAATATCAATCAGCAATAACGACAACACATCTGTGAAAATTTCACATAACTTCTTTCTTACTTCTCTGAAATACTTTTCTTAATTCTTATAGACTGAATGTTTATGCCTCCCCAAAATTAATACGTTGAAGCTCCAATCACTAATGTGATGATATGTGGAAGGTAGTTAGGGTTGGAGTCATGAGGGCAGGGTCCTCATGATGGCACTAGTGTCCTGATAAGAAGAGACACCAGAGAACTTGCTCTCTCTCTCTGTCTCCCCCTGCGCACAAAGCTAGGACAGGCCATGTGAGCACACAGTGAGAAGAAGCAAGCCAGGAAGAGGGCCTTCAACAGAACCTGACCATACTAGCACCCTGATCTCGTGATCCTGGACTTCCAGCTTCCAGAACTGTGAGAAAATAAATTCCGATTGTATTTTGTAAAGGCAGCTTGAGGTGATTAAAACAAAAATTTAAAGGCCTGTGAGTTATTCCAAATATTTCATGTCATGAGAATATTTTAGGTATTAGCTTTCCAAATTTTGAAACTAAGAATGTAGTTTTTAGAGTCAGAGAATCTGGGTTCAAATTATTCCTCTTCCACTTATTTTCTGTATAACCTTGGGCAAATTATTTAACTTTCAGTTCCCTCTACTTAAATTAGGGATAATCATAGTAGCTATCTCATCGGATTGAAGTAAAGATTGAGTAAATATGTGTAAAATAATTAGATCAGTGCCTGGCACACAGTAAGTGCTCAATATGTATGCACTATTATCTTTTTACTTTGGCCAAATAAATTAATGTCTTTTTTGGTAGTGATATCTCATTTTCAATTATGTTGAACTACGAGTGAAAAAAATTATTTTGATCAAAACAGAAACATTTATCAAGTTAACATTCATTTTCTTTAGTGTACTGTAGGATTCTAAAACTACAGGAATAATTTATTTGCAAGAATGTACGTTTGGATGAAATTCCACTTCTGAATATACATAATTGCTGTGTAAGAAGACAAGGTTGTTAGCTTACAGTAATCCCTTTTCTAAAAGTCCAGTGCTGTGGTTTTCAGACTTTAGCATATATCAGAATCTCCTGGAGGGATTATTAAATTATAGATTCACTGGCTGCATACCAAGGTGTTCCTATTTGGTAGATCTTGGTGAGGCCTAGGAGTGTGCATTTCTTACAAGTTCCCAGGAGATGCACTGATGCTGGTGGTTTGTTGCGGAGCACAGGCTCAGGATGCGCAGGCTCAGCGGCCATGGCTCACGGGCCCAGCCGCTCCGCGGCATGTGGGATCTTCCCGGACCGGGGCATGAACCCACGTCCCCTGCATCAGCAGGTGGACTCTCAACCACTGCGCCACCAGGGAAGCCCTCTGGTTGCTTTTTGAAGGATGGCTCAGATGACTCCAGTCAGGCCAAAAATGATGATAGCTCAACTAAAGTAACAGGATAGAGAGGAGGAACAGTTAAAGGGAGAGAATAATAATCTAGTAGATTTGAGGGGTGAGGGAAAGGAAAAGGTAACTGAGATAGGGAACATGAGAAGAGGAGTGGGTTTTTGTGGGGACACACTAGATTTCAGTTTTAGAGGTCCCTGTAAGACACTCAGATATAAAGGTCTGAAGCTTAGGAGAGACAGCTGGTAAATAGATTTGGGAGTAATCAGTATTACAAATAGAAAAAAAAGAAAAAGTCAGGGGAGAGACTGAAATACTTCAAGAGTACACATAGAGTGAGAAGAGAACTTAGGATGGAACCCTGAGACACAGCAACATTTAAAGGATGGCCAGAGGAAAAGTCCATAAAGGAACCTGGGAGAATGGCCAGAGAAGTAAAAGGGGATCAAGGAAAGGAGAGCGTAAAGGAAGCCAAGGAAAGGGAGTGTTCCTAAAATTGGTCAGCAGAATCAAGGGTAGTTTTCAGTGGCGTGACGCCAAAGGCTTGATTACAACAGCGGGTTAAGGATATGGAAGTAAACTGGAGAGATCCTACTGTACACAACTCAAGAAGTTTGGCTGGAAGAGCAAACAGGGATTAGGCAGTGGCCAGAGGGGATGTGGGGTTTTGGAAGGTACTTGTATATGCATTTATATATAGGAGAGATTTGTGCATTCTTAAATGTTGAAGAGAAGGCACTGACAGGGAAGTGGAGTTGAATACACAGGCCAGATAGAATAAGCAATGGAATGAGGTCCCTGAGAGATATGTAGGACCCACAGCATAATTGGTGCATTAATTTTTAGTCAAGGGAAAAAGGAAAAGAGATGGGTGTGGATGAACGGATTACATTTTAGTGCTACAGAAGGCAACTGACAAACTGTTAAGCACAAGGTCCTGTGCTAGGTTCTATAATACACTGGCAAGCAAAACTGATACTATCTCTGCCCTCATGGAGGTATTTAAAAGGAATGTGCACAGACTCTTTTTGTATATAGAGTATTAAAGGACTACTTCTAAACTCTTCTGCTGTTCAAACGGAAAAGTACTCATCTGCTTGCTTGTAAACTCATAATTTATAAAGTGGGAAAAGGCACCAGGCTTTGGTAAAAAGAATCACCAAGTGACAGGGAAAGAAGCTATAATCTCCACTAACACAGAGGAAGGCCAAAATATGCCTTATGCTGAGGATAAAAAATTCAAAAAATTATCTGAGTATTTAAAGAAAAAAATAGGAAATAGGAATATATTCTTCTGATTCACAGATGTTTATGGTAGCTTTCACTGAAAATATTGATATCCTCCATATTCAGATTTCATAAATTCTGTGATATGTAATAAAAAAGATTTAATATGTATTAGATAAGAAAATAAGACAAGAAAAAATCAAGAAGTCAAGTAGACCTCTAGTCCTATTCTGAAGGCAGACAGACCAACATTTCTCAAATATTTGGAACTCACTGTCCTTACTAATAAAGGGATGTTATAGAGGCAGGGAAGAAACATTAACATTGACAAATAACAGCAGATACATTTTTTGAATATTTATTGTGTATTAGGCCTCCACTGTGATTTACCTACATTAATTCCTCTAATCTTAATAAAGGTGGGAGTGTGGTAAGCAGAAAAATCATGCCCTAAAGAGGTTCACATCCTAATTCCCAGAACCTGCTAAATGTATTTCCTTATGTTGAAAATGGACTTTGCAGATGTGATTAAGGATCTTTTTTTCTCTTAAAAATATGGAACACTTCATGAATTTACATGTCATCCTTGCACAGGGGCCATGCTAATCTTCTCTGTATCCTTCCAATTTTAGTATATGTGCTGCTGAAGCAAGCATCCATGATTAAGGATCTTGAGATGGGGAGATTATCTTGGATTATCAGGGTGTGTGGGCTCAATGTAATCACAAGGGTCCTTATAAGTGAATGAGGAAGGCGAGATGGGTTAGGGTCAGTGATTGGAAGATGCTGCACTGTTGGGTTTGGAGATGGAGGAAGGGGCCATGAGCCAAGGAATGTAGGTGGCTTTAAGACATGAAAGGCAAGGGAATGGATTCTCCCCAAAGCCTCCAGAAGGAATGGAGCCCTGCAGACACCTCGATTTTAGCTCATGAAGCACAGTCAGTGTTCTGACCTCAAATGTGTAAGAATAAATCTGTGTTGTTTTAAGCCACTAATTTTATGGTTACTTTGTTAGCGGCAATAGGAAACTAATCTACGTGGGTACTATGACTTTCCCCATTATACTGATGTGGAGAAAGAGACTTAACAAGGGTTAAATAATTTCCCCAAAGTTACTGCAGATAGTTGAAGAAATTCCCATTTTACATTCTTATTTTCTCTTTGAGGTAGGAGGCAAGGTGAATTTCTAAGAACTGGAAGTTGGGATTGGCTGTAAGGGAAAATTGGGAAGAACATAAAATAGTTCTTATGAAGAATAAGAATTGCTAGCGTCATATGTAAAGTCCTTATCTCACAGTGAGGTATTTACAGAATATAAGATATGATGAATTTGCCTTAAAATAATCTAAGAGGGGCCACAAGGGGGATAAGCAGTAGGTGGGGGCATAGGTGAAATAAGACTGGGCATATGAGGATAGTGTTAAAAGCTGGATGGTAGCATGGGCACAAGAAGTTTTATTATACTAGTGTATATTTTTATATGTATTTAAAAATTTTCCAAAAAAAGTTAAAAAATGAATTCACGGTAAAGAGCAATAAATGTCACAAAGGAAAATATCTTGAAAAAGTCATGAAGTAAGAAAACAAAAACAACTTTTAAAATAAAGCTACACTGACAGAGAACCTATCAGTGGTGCCTGAGGAAGAGTGGGATAGGGAAGGAGGTCAAGGCAAGTGGGAAGGAGGGATAGCCAAGGGGCACAAAAAAACTTTTGGATATGATATATTCATTATTTTGACATTAATTATCTATCATCTACATATCTCCATTAAGAAGGTATAGTGTATATATACATATACACTATATATGTCATAACATCAAATCGAATATATTAAATATGTGCAGTTTATTGCATGTCAATTATACTGCAATAAAGCTGTAAGAAATTAACAAACAAAATAAAGCAATACTGATAAAAATGCAAGGAGAGCTTCTTTCTGGCCCGACACGTAGAGTTTGGAAGTCATCACTGCCGTACTCACAACAAAAAAAGCTGAAGAAACTGAAAATCAACTCTGCTTTGACCCATCAGAGAACTAAGGTCATAGAGCAAACTGCTACCCTGAAAACTGGAGAGGTGGATACAGAGAATCACAGCTTACTGGGAGCAGAAGCCCAGAACCAGAAGACTGAAACTAGAGCCAGTACTGGCAGAAACACTTAAACTGTGATTGTGACATTACTGAGGAATCAGTGTGAACTAGTTTGAGAGTTCAAAACTCTGGGGGAGAAAGCGAGGCAGTCTTAGGGGAGCCACACTTTTGCAAGTTTTCCCTCCAGGAGTTCCATCAAATTCTCAAGAGGAAGATTGGGGGAAAAAACCCTCATGCTTCTAGCACAGAGAGGAAAGTAACCAGTTAAAAATATGCCCAGAGCTCTCTGTTCTCCTTCACAACAGCTTGCCCTTAAGGAAACCTATTTTACTAGAGATTAAGTAACTTGGGATTTACCAAAAACTAATCAACCCGAGGGAAAGGAAATACCTAACTTCAGCCCCCTCTAACCTCCCTGTTTAACCTATAGAGGAGGGCAAGCTGAGAAGCACTTTCTTCAAGTCACAGCCCACACAAGCTCACTAAAAAACTGAGACACAGGATGATAGGATGCTTCTCCTACCATAGTCTTATATCTCACCACCACATCAACTGGGCTCCTGTCTAATAATGAGATTACAGTTAAAAGAACTGCAAACCTCAGACCCATTTAAAAGGAAGTCTGTAGGGTGACACAAAGACAACAGAAGAGACAAAAGAAAGACAATAGAGGAAAATTTTGCCTCTTGACAGCATAGCTACTGCAAACAGTAACACAGTCTAACTCCTAGCAGATAAACATAAAACCTCATAGTGAAGGCTTATCTACCACAGTTCCTTTCACCCAATACATCATGTCTGGCTCTCAAGAAAAAAATTTTAAGCCATGCTAAAATGCAGAAAACAAAGTTTGAATAGACAAAGCAAGCATCAGAACCAGACTCAGATACAGCAGGGATGTTGGAATTATCAGACCAGAAATTTAATATTTAATATGATAAAGGCTCTAATGGAAAAAAGCAGAGAACATGCAAGAAAAGATTGTTAATGTAGGCAGAGAGATGGAAACTCTAAGAACGAATCAAAAGGAAATGGTAGAAATAAAAAATACCGCAATAAAAATGAAGAATGCCTTTGATGTGCTCATCAGTAGACTGGACACAGAAGATGAAAGGATCAGTAAACTTGAAGATATATCAATAGAAACCTCGAAAACTGAACTGCAAAGAGAAAAACTAATGAAAAGTTGGAAAAGAATATCCATGAACAATTACACAAAGGTTACATACACAAAGGTGTAACATATGTGTTGTGGGACTACCAAAAGGAAAAGAAGAAGGGACTTCACTGGTGGTGTGGTGGTTAAGAATCCACCAGCCAATGCAGGGGACACGGGTTCAAGCCCTGGTGCAGGAAGATCCCACATGCTGCAGAGCAACTAAGCCTGTGAGCCACAACTACTGAGCCTGTGCTCTACGGCTCGTGAGCCACAACTACTGAGCCCGTGTGCCAGAAATACTGAAGCCTGCGTGCCTAGAGCCCATGCTCCACAACAACAGAAGCCACCATAATGAGAAGCCTGCGCACTGCAACGAAGAGTAGCCCCCGCTTGCTGCAACTAGAGAAAGCCCATGTGCAGCAAAGAAGACCCAATGCAGCCAAAAATAAATAAATAAATTTATAAAAAAAAAAAGGAAAAGGAGAGAAAAGATCAGAAGAAATATTTGAAGAAATAATATAAGAATTTTCCAAAATTAGTGACAGACATCAAACTGCAGATCCAGGAAGCTTAGAGAACACCAAACAGCAAAAATACCTAAAAACCTATACCTATGCATTTCATACTGAATCAGCAGAAAATCAAAGACACAGAGAAAATCCTGAAAGTAACCTGGGAAAATGAATGGGAGAAAAGGGTGTCTAGGGATCCATATAAGATTATGATACAATTAGGAATGCTCATTTGAGGTTGATGACTATGAATCACTGGTGGTGACAATATTCAGGGCTGTATATTTCTCTTTAGAAATGCCCAGTAGCTTAGATCTAGGAGTGAACAAGAAAGATAGCTGGATTAACAACCCAGGGTTGTAATTTTGCCAGGCAGGTAGAGTAAAAAGAAGAGTACTTTATGGGAGTTAAAGGTAGTGAAGTGATGGTTGATATACGGTAGCTAAATAACGAGGTAAAGAAAACAGGTTGATACAGGTCAAGAAACAAATAGACTTAAAGTTGAATAGGTATAGTTATAATAACAAGAGTGAGAGGGCTGGAAAAATAGTTTTTGAGAGTTGATGGATGGTACTGAGATTTCAAAAGTAAAACATTTCTGGTAGATAAGGTTCACCACATGGCCACGGGAGTGAGTAGCCATAGTTGAATGAAAATGAAAGACTCTGGGGTTTTCAGCATGGAAATAAAGGAATTTGGGTGAGATTAGTTGCTGATTTGAATATTATTTCCTCTCTCCATATATCAGATAGGTTGCCTGTAGCAGGTGGGAATATATAGGCAACAGAAGAGCATTTATTCAACTCATAATTTAACTCAAGTGATAAAGAATATCATATGGTATGCACATTTTTCCTCTTAGTCTCACACTGGGTCATATCTTACATAACAGACTATGATCAAGTGGATCTGATGTCAAAACAATATGAAGAAACCTCACTTTATCATGAAATAATTTTACAAGTGGGAATACATTTGATATATGGAGAACTGGGGGAGTATAGTGTGGATTTGTTTCTTTTAGGTTGTTATAAAATTGTGATCTATGACATCAGTGGGGAAGGAAAATGATAGATGTGAAGGGCAGTTTGACAGGATCTGAACTTCAAAGAAAGTAATAAATGGATGAATGGGAGGCAGATGTATCAGCTGCAGAAAAGCCCAAAGGTGCTGGACTGTTAGGGTAATCACTGTAAGAATGTGCATGCTGCACTTTACTTACATGACTTTCTAAATGACTCTGTTCTCCATATGATAGAAGTGACTTTTAGTTTAAGATAAGGAGAAGGGGAGCATTAGTGATCTTAGAACTAAAACCTGCCTTAAGCAAACAGCCTTCCCTATCAAATTTTCTGCTAGAACTTGTGGGTAAAATGAGTGGGTTCAATTTCAACTTTTTAAAAGTTCTTTGCTTGACGAGGTAATGAAAGAGCCACATGATGGGAATATGGTCAATCAGAGAAAAGGAGAGGAACAAAGGGTCTGAATATTTCACAAACTGGGTAGACAATACCTGAACAACCAAGTTAATCTTTGGCCTCCAATTAATCAGACTTGCACTTGATTTAAAAAAATAGGCTTTATTTTTATAGCACTTTTAGATTCACAGCAAAATTAAGCGGAAGGTATAAAGAGTTCTGACATACCCTCTGCATCTCTCCTCCTCAGACTCTCCCCTATTATATCTACATTTTTATAATGATATGAAAGCAGATAGGTTTGACCAGGCACTCATATAGTTCACAGTGGATGTGGTGACACAGTCCAGACCTTCCCTTCAGGACTGAGGCAATATTCCCCGAGCTGCTCCAAGTGTTGGTTGCTGATAGCTCACAGCAGCTAGGTTCTTACCTAAAAATTGTTCTCAGCCAAAGGGAGCTGGCTTGTACAAATTATAACCCCTTCCTGGGGACTGCCTGCATGCAGTGTCTAATGCAGAATACAAAGGTATGGCCCTTTTGCTTCAATCTGGGCCATCTTAGAAAAACCAGCCTTGCTTCACATCTGATAGACCTGCTTTCCTCACTACTCCAGAAGCCTTGCTCTCAAGAATAGTCTAGATTAAATCTTTGCGCGCAAATCTCTGGGTCAGGGTCTGCTTCCACATGTCTTAAATATGGGAAGTTTCCCAACCATACATAAAACATTGATAATGAAGCAGTGCTTTAAAGGTGTAGTAAAACTATGACAATATAATCAGAACACCTAGTTCTGTGTTCTAGTTCCACTACTTAATGGCTCTATGATTTTGGATAATTTATTTCTCTGAGCCTCAAGTTTCCTCATCTTTAAATGGGGGATAATTCCTTATGTAACAAGGGTTACTATGAGGGCTCAAATTGGGATATACCAACACAAACACAAACACACACACACGCTCATGCTTTCAAATATAATGTAATATTCTTATTATAATTTACATGAACTGGCAATTTCAAAACCTAAGCCTAATTATTTTCACATTCTGTTATTTCATGGAAACATTCCATTAGACAGCTAGCCAATATTAAGATTAAACCAAAAAAATTCATTAGTTGTTTACTATATGCTTGACCCTGTGCTATGAATGAGGTATACAATGATGGCATGGTTCTTGACCTCAAAGGATTACAGCCTGGGGAGAGGCATTAAATATAAACAGATAAAGTGTGATCAAGTATTACATATGCCAAGGGACTTCCCTGGTGGTCCAGTGGTTAAGAATCTGCCTTCCAATGTAGGGGATGTGGGTTCGACCCCTGGTTGGGGAACTAAGATACCACATGCCATGGGGCAACTATGCCTGCATGCTTTAGAAAGATCCGGTGTGCTGCAACTAAGACCTGATGCAGCCAAATAATTAATAAATAAATAAATAATTAAAAAGGTATTATATATGCCAAAATGGCAGCAGTATGCCCAGAAATAGTGGGAGGTGTGTTCATTTTTCCAAGAGTATCAGAAAAGACTTCATTAAGGAAGTGAACCTTGAGGTGAGACAGTTTTTAGGAAAGGTACTTTATTCCCAGTAAACTTTACTTGAGCACTGAAGGATACTTTAATCACTTCTAAAAGTAACATCAATTTGATTTAACCTATAACAACTATTTTGTGTGTATCTATCATGCAGAGAACTTTCACAGAAATATTTACAACTGAAAGTTAAGGTTACTTACTGTTATCTTACGAGGACATTCATTAGGACAGAGACCACTAAGAACTGTGGAAAAATTAAAAAAAGCCTATTATTACTGTTATAATATTAATATGCCCTATTGATTCATGGTCAAGCAAAAACCAATTCAATTTCTTTAGATCTGAGTAAATTAAATTTCTTTTGTTCACTTTAGGCCAATATTTCAAAAGCCTTTATTAAGCAGTCAAGCTGCTGCCATTTTGTGGAATATATAGATGATATAATTAATTATGGTTATAATATCATACCTACTGTTGGTTCTATTTTCTAATTGGTTAGCTACATTCCAAGGATGACTTAGAATCTGACAGAGAATTGCCAAATGCAAACCAATTAAAATTTATACTGAAAAAAACAAAATAGAACATTTAACACTTCATATCAAACTAGACTATTTCAATTTATCTAGTCAAATTTTCTGGGTAAAAAAGTTTGGGCTCCCTTGATAACTTTTATGGAGAACATAACTATAAAATAATTGATGGGTCTATAACAAAAATAATTTAATGACATATTTATTCTATAATTACCAAAAAAGAAAAGGTTAGGATATCTGAACATTCTTTCTATAACTAACATGTATTTTGAAACATAACTACACTCATGTGAAGTAATTCCTTTATAAGAAGGCAGACTTTATGTGCTATTAAATATGCTATATGTTATAAATTTAAGGAAGACAGCTGATAGTACTGTTCAGTAAGCATGAACTGTACCAATAATAATTGTGATTATTGGTTAGTTCAAATATATCTATAGGAAAATTGTTCCTTATGTTGATTTATATTTTACAAATGTGAAATGATAATCATTCTAATACAAATATTATACTTAGGCAGGGTACATAAACTGCAAAGGCATAAGAAATGAACATGACAAATTTCATCACATAAGAAGATACTTGTTTATTTACTATAGTACGTTTATATTAAATTCAACCTGAGGAAACAGTGAAATAAATGTTTCATACTTGCAAATCAGTTTTCAATGTTTAAGTTCCTTACCCCAGCATAGTGCCTAGTTATCACTCTTTTATTCTCAAACACTCCATGACCTTACTTCTCCCTCTCCTTTGTTCCTCTTCCCTCAACTCTGGGCAGACACTGGTACTTCTTTTTCACTTGTCCCCAAATGATTTTCCTAAACCTTCATTAAAACATTATCTTGCTAAACAGTATATTATTTACTCAAAAGTCTGTCTTTGTACCAGTATGTAAGCTCTGCATAGTTTTTTTTATCATTTTTTCAGGCCTAGCCAAATGTATTTGCTCAATAAATACTTGTTAAAGGAGGGAAAAGATGGATTATTCAATAAATGGTACTGGATAACTGGCTACTTGGAGGAAAATAAAGTTAGACTTTGATTCATAACATGAAAATTACATTTGGCAAAGACACTACTAATATAAAGAACTCTTACACTACAGTGATAAAAAGACAACCCAATTAAAAAATGGGCAAAGGACCTGAACAGGTATTTTTCCAAAGATGATGCAGACATATAAAAAGCTCATGAAAAGATGCTCAGCATCATTATCATGGAAATGCTAACCAAAACCACAACGAGACGTACACAATTCACAATATCCAAGAGGTGGAAGCAACCCAAATCAATGTCCATTGGCAGATGAATGAATAAACAAAATGTGGTACACACTCAGAGTGGAATATTATTCAACTTTAAAAAGGGAAGAAATCCTGTCACATGTTACAACATGGATGAACTTTGAGGACATTATGCTAAGCAAGCCAGTAATAAAAAGACAAATACTCTATGATATCACCTACATGAGGTGTCTAAACTTGTCAAATTCAAAGAAACAAAGTAGAACGGTGGTTACCAGGGGTTGACGGGAAGGGAAAAAGGGCAGTTGTTAAATGGGTACAGAGTTTCAGATCTGCAAGATGAAAAAGTTCTGGAGATCTGTTTCACAACAATGTGAATATACTTAACATCACTGAACTATACTTAAACATAGTTAAGATAGTAAATTTTATGTTACATGTTTTTTTAACCACACACACAAAAATGGTTAAGATTGTAAAAATAAACAAAACAAACCCACAATGAGACACCATTTCACACCCATTAGGATGGGTATAATCAAAGAGTCAGATAAAAACAAATTTGGGTGAAGATGTGGAGAAACTGGACCCTCCTACATTTCTGGTGGGAATGTAAAATGGTCCAGCTGCTTTGGAAAACAGTCTGGCAATTTCTTAAAAAGATAAACAAAGAGTTCCTATTTAACCCAGCAATTCCACTCTTAGGTATATATCAAGAGGAATTAAAATATATGTCCACACAAAAACTTGTACATGAGTGTTCACAACAGTATTATTCATGATAGCCAAAAAGTAGAAACCATCCAAATGTCCATCAACTGATGGATAAACAAAATGTGGCAGGTATATTCATATAGTGGGATATTTGACAATTAAAAGGAATAAAGTACTGATGCTACAACACAGATGGATCTTGAAAACATTATGCTAAGTGGAAGAAGTCAGTCACAAAAGATCACATATTATATGAACCCATTTATATGAAATATTCAGGATAGACAAATCTATGGATACAGAAAGTAGTGGTTGCCTGGGGATGGGGATTGAGGGTGGTAGCTAAAGGGTACAGGGTTTCAGGATCATTGGTAGCTCTATTTTTACTTTTGTCATACTGAGTGAATTAAGTCAGAGAAAGAAATATCGTATGATATCGCTTACATGAGGAATCTAAAAAGAAATGATACAAATGAACTTATTTACAAAACAGAAACAGACTCACAGACTTAGAGAATAACTTATGGTTACGGGGTGGGGGTGGTGAGGGTGAGGGGACGGGATAGTTAGGGAGTGTGGGATTGACATGTACACACTGCTATATTTAAAATGGATAGCCAACAAGAACATACTGTGTAACACAGGGAACTCTGCTTAATATTATGTAACAACTTAAATGGGAAAAGAATTTGAAAAAGAATAGATAGATACATGTATAACTGAGTCACTTTGCTGTACACCTGAAACTATCACAACATTGTTAATCAACTATACTCCAATATAAAATAAAAAGTTAAAAAAATAAAAAATAGAAAAGGGTACAGGGTTTCTTCTGTGGTGATGAAAACGTTCTACAACTGATTGTGGTCATGTTGGTACAATTCTGTAAATATACTAAAAGCTATTGAATTGTATACTTGAAACAGGCAAATGGTATGGTATGTAAATTATATCTCAATAAAGCTGTTATAAAATTTTAAAAATACCATAAAATTAAAAAAAAAACTAATGACAAGGGGCTGTGAACTTTAAAAAATATACATTACAAAGAGATACTATTGCCAATATACAAAGAGCTTCCAGATATGGGTTAGAAGATGATAATCCAATAAAAACAAAGGATATCAAGAAGCAATATCCAGAAGAGAAAAGTACAAATAATCAAAAAACCAGGAAGAAAGACACTCAACCTCACTAGGCAGGAAAAAAATCAATTTTATACCTAACAGAAAGGCAAAAAATGAAAGACCAATAAAAATGTCTGTAGGAAAAACAGAATCAAAGATAAATGACAAACTATGAAGAATATTTACAACATATATCACGAAGGATTAATTTCCCTAATATATACTATGGTACATTTATAAATCAATAAGCAAATGAAAAAGGACAAGGACCATTCATAGAAATAAAAATACAAATGGCTCTTGAACATATGGAAAGATGCTGAACTTTACTCAGTATAAGAAAAATGCAAAATAAGACAATACTTTCACTTTACAACTGGCAAAACTTAAAAAGTTTAATAATCCATTGGGTTGGTGAAGGTATTAGGAAATGTGCATTCTCCTACACTGTAAGTGGAAGTTTAAACTGATACGATTTCTATGAAGGGACACATGTTAAAAAGTTCAAAACCAGGCAGAATTAATCTAAGGTGTTGGAAATTAAATTAGTGGTTACCTGTAGGTGAACTGGGTCAGTAATGAAAAGGGTGGTTATGAGGAAGCTTCTGGTTGCTGGTATCATGTTTTTCCTGATCTGGGTGTACTTACATGTGTGCATTTACTTTGTCAAAATTTATACACCTGTGTACTTATGTACACTTTTCTGTAAGTATATTTCAATAGAGCATATTTAAAAAGTGTACATGTATTATTTTTTAGTAATTCCATTTTTAGGAATTTATTCTATAGGCTATTCACTGTGGCGTTAATTATAATAAAAAGAGACTGAAAATAAGCTGGTATCTGTCAATAAGAAACTCATTAAATTATGTTGTATCCATACACATGATACTATTCAGTAGTTAAAATGAGGTAGCTCTAGATTATATTGTTATGGTATAATCTCCAAGATATATTGTTAAGTGGAGAAAACAAAGTCTAGAACTACCATTTATGTAAAATAAAAGCATATAAACATATGTGCTTGTATGTGTTTAAGATATCTTAGACAGACACAAAGAAGAGGTTGCTTTTGGGGAAAAGAACTGGACCACTGGGAAACATGGGTAAAAAAGCGACTTACTTTTCACTATTAGACTCTTCTGTATTTTTTCACCATTTGCATGTACTACTTATTTTAAAAACAAATTTGTTACAGAAATAAAAATTTAGAGCTCTCAGATGAATATGTAGTAAACTGGACAGTGTTATGCTGATGGGATATAAACGTCTATGACTGTTGGGAAAGGTAATTTGGCATTATCTATTAACACTAAAAACATAGCCCCTCAACTCATCAATTTCATGTATATGAAATATTGGAAACTATCTATGTGTCCACTAAGAGAGAAAATGCTAAATAAATTATGGAACATCTATAGTACTATGGAATGACATGGAACTATTAAAACAATGAGAGAGACCTGTTAAGTGCTGACATGAAAGGGTGTTTATACTCTCTTGCTAAGGTAAAAAAATAAGACAAAGGCAGATATGTTCAGTAAGATTCTATTTACAAATGTATGTGTTAGATGAATTTCATAGACATACTACTGAACAAAAGAAGTCAGACACAAA